GGTTTTAGCTTCTCTTTCACTCATGTGGAAGTCATGCGGTGTGTGGCACTTGCAAGCGTCATATGGTGCAAGTGACACTTGCATTTGATCCGTCTGCTTCATTTGATGGAGGATGGCCAGGTGGATTATTTATCCTTTTTTTTTTTTTTTTCATACTCGTAATTTAACATGAGAAATGAGCTCTGGAAACTACATCTTCTTTTAAATAGAGCTATTCATCAGGCACTTTCATTGATAATGAAGATCTTAATGCTTTAAAGCACTAGTTTTCTCTCAAAACAAAACTAGAGGGTGCTTATTCAGTGGTGCAAGGCTATGTATGATATTACTGGCCCATCTGAGCTGTATTTCGTATATTACAGTCCACAGATTAATTAATGGTTGGATGTGCCTAGTGTCTTAGAACTTGGCCTCTTGTACTCAGTGATTGACACTTGCATGGTGTGTATCGAGGGGGATGTGAAGCGTTAGGATCTGACATACCAGATATACGTTATATACAGATAGATGTATTTGCCCATTTGTAAGTAAAGAGCCTGGCTGCAGGTGCAGAAAGAACTGCTGAATCCGCGTAGTGCAAACCCCTTGTAAAGATCTGATGTGTCGCGTTGTGGAGATAAGGGATAATGAAAAAACAAGAAATGTCGGAATGAGCCTGGAATTAAGGTAAATAATGAAGTTCAGATGGGAATTGTCTGTGTTTCTCCCGGAGCGCCAGCGCTTGGGGACTTTCCTTCCTACGATTTCTTCCCTTCTGTGATGCATCTCAGAGAAGTGGTACCTCTGTCTGAGCACAGGACATGAGACCTGTGCATTCAATCTCCATAATAATCTTCAAAGAGGTGAACAGACTTTTTTCCTGGCTTTTGGAGAGTTCATATCCTCCTGCTTTGCTGCCAATTCCTTCAGCATTAGCAAGGAGTTTTTCTGGGTAGGTATCCTTCAAATTTACCTGAAAAATGTCATTGTCTTCAGGTAGAAAGCCTTAGATAGAAGCCTTATTTTTTCTGTAATGGGTGCAGTTGAAGGAAGTTTTTTTAGAACCTAAATGCTGTTCTTTTGCAGTCATTTAATGTGGATGGGTATCTTAATATCTTAATAGCCTTTTCCTGATAGTAACTGGACAACTACTGTAGACGCTCGAGTATCTTCACTGCCATTATTGCTGTTCAGTGCAACCTTTTTTACCCTTTTCTAAGTGTTCTCCCCAAAGCTCCCCCCTGTCAGGTTTCGGATGCTCCTCAAGCTGTTTCTGCCGATGAAGCATTTCCAGGTTGATTATTTGCCTTCATTTCTGCATCTGCAGGGATGCCACCTTTCGCATTTCCCACCTCTTGGTGCCTACCCATACACCTCTTCTAAGTTTTCCTGTTTTTTCCTTTTTCTTCCTTTCTGTGAGGCAGGTCTTGGATCAGTTCCTCTTTCCAGGAGCTGTCCGTGAGGTAGCATCTTTGGTTGCCATAAAACAACACATATTGACTAAGACTTCCTGGTGGGAAGTGTTTCCTTTGGCAATTTCCCCAGGGTAGAGAATTGAATCCTTCAGAAACCTGAGTCCTTCAGGCTTGGGGTGAACCCTGTGTGGGTGCTACTTGCAGCACATAAGAGCTTTTCTCTGAGTGAAGTTAAACTAGGTGATCCCATTGACTTCTGCAAATCCTTTCCTAGGCATCTAAGAGTGATTCTTGTGTTTAATGGTGTGGGGCGAAAGGTTGAGCAAAATAAATCACCTCTTGAGAGCACCTGGTTTAGTACATGTGGACTTTGTGCTTGCCAGTGTGGGGACATTTTTAATGGAACAAACCTGTTGCTGTAAATCCACAAAATGTGCTAAATGCTTTTGGTTCCCAGGGGCTGCTCCAGCTGCTTCTGCTGTGTTTTGGAAAACCTGAAGGCAGTAACATAAAGAATGTCAAACATGGAAAAAATCTTGCTAAGAAATATGTTTCTGTAATAATTTGTCCAACAATTATTTCAGGAATTCTCATCCACCAAACCAAGTGTAGTCTCTTAGGGAATTGGAGAGATATATTTAATTTCTCCAGGAAGAAATACACTTTTTCATATTTTGTTTCAAATGTGTTTAATACTTACTTAAATTTTCGGACCTAATTAGGCAAATATGCTACATTTATTGTAAATGGGAACAAAACTTGTTTTTTATCAGAACTGAGTTAGAAGCACCTGCATTTATCTGTTGATTTATTCTGATTTGCTTTTGTCTTTTATAAATAAGTATCAGAATGCGATTGCTTTCTTCTCAAAACCTGTAATAAAAATAAACCATTTTAATTAAACTCCAACTGCTTGTTGATTATGAAGGGGAAAGTATTTCCTTTTTAAAAGCTCTAGATAGATTTGGAAAACACTTTAAAATAATGTTTTTAAAAATCAGTGTGTCAGCTTCCCTCTCCTGTAAGCCCAGTGGAAACTGCTGACTGATTTCCAAACATACCCAGCCCTCCTTTGGCTGTCACAAGCAGAATGCTGCTGGGAGCAGAACTGCTTGCACATAAGCCCAGTAGGTCCTTGTTGGACAGCTTGGATTGCTCTTACCTCTTGTGCTTGTCTGGAAACATTAACCTAGTAATTCTTCATTTTGCAGCATCAACTACCAATGCCAGTCCAGTCTCTACATCCTCAACTGTTGTCAATATTTCCACGTCAGCAGTAGCCAGCATCTCACAGGTAAAACTCCTTGATTATATTTACATACATCTAATTTGCCTTTGCAAACACATTATTTAAAACTAACAAGAGAAGACAAATTGTTTGACCTACTTTAAATGGAGCAAAAATGGGCACTAAATTTATAGGGCTCAGTGTGTAAATCAGTCAGCAAAATTACTCATGCCTTTCTTGTTGACTGTGCTGCTCTTCTTTATGGTCTTCAAACCAAACTCACTTCAGCTCTTCACCACTGATTCCTTTTCTGTGGATTGAGTTGGTGGATCTTAAAATGTTGAGATTTCTGCATAAAGAAGAAACATTTATGAAACATTTATTTCTTCATAACAATTATTAGAATCTATTTACAAGAAGGATTGTAGGTAGAAGTCTTGTCAATGCCCTTGTTCTCCATCAGCAGTAAAATAAAAAGAAAACAGATAATATGCAAAGAAAAGAAGTGGAGGAGATGCCTTCTGGTGGTGGAAAAAAAAAAAAACAGATAATATGCAAAGAAAAGAAATGGAGGAGATGCCTTCTGGTGGTGTTAGAATGAAGCAAAATTAAAAGCCCTGTGACTAATTAAAAGCCCTGTGACTATCAGACAGGCCCTTTTCTTCCTTACTCCATGATGTGTTTTGGATAATCCAGGACTCTGTGTTCTTGCCCCTCAGGGGTTAACTGCCATTCAGGATATATAGAATTACGAAGGATTGCTTCAAAGTGACAGCTTTGTAGAGAGAGTGTAGGCAGAGCTGCAGAAAAGGTAATGGATGCAGCAAAATCCCAGTACATTTATGCTGTTGCTCTTTAAGATTATTTAGGAACATAAAGCTTGTTTAGAGCTGTAAAGAAAGCAGCTTTCCTGAATGCTACTGCAGACTGAGATACCTGGTGCATGTTCACAGATCAGGAGCTCACAGTGCGGGACTGAGATACCTGGTGCATGTTCACAGTGTGTCAGGAGGGCGTCATGTAGCACTGCAGGTTGCCTGCTTTCTTTGTAGTCAGTAGCAGATATGAAGATCTTCAAGCACAGCTGGAATTCAGGTGCCCTGACTGATCTCACTGATCTTCTAAATAAATAAACAGTCTTCATAAATGGAAAAGTTTAATCACAGCATGCAAAATAAGTGCTTTCTGAAGTAATTATATAAGTAGAGGCTGTTTATTCTCTATCCATAGCCTAGATTGTACTCCAAGCCAGTGCTGCTCTCTTATCACTGTCAGTATATGTGGTATGAGAGACTAAAACACAAAACAAAGCTGTGCATTTCTGAAGAGAGCAACAGCAGACTCGGAGTGGGCTTGTGTGCCCTAGTGCGCGCAAGCGATGCCTTGGCATCCACTCACTGCTTCCCTCTTACTTTTGTAGCAGCATATAGGAAAATAATTCAAATTAGGAATTAATTTGAAGGAACTGGACATAGAAGAAAAACCTTGTGATTCCTGACCTGC